GACTTGCATTGATATCTTCCTCTTCCCCATGTCTCTGTTTTCCTCAGTTACTGGCTATGATGTCTAATCTAGTTCTTTCTGTAAAGACATTCATCAGATTGAATTTATACTAATGGCTTCAGTTTCAATCACCGCTTTGAGGGTTAGAATTTCAGCTATCCATAACATGGCTGCTGTTAATTTAGATATCTTTTAGTGGGAGGAATAAAATAAATCTAGAAATCTAATATGAAAATTGTTTTAGGAGCTGGACATGGTGGCTTATGCCTGTAATCGAATCACATGGAGGATAAGGCAGGAAGACTGTTCTGAGTCTGTTTCCAGGCTAGGTTACTTAGTGAATTTCAGACCAGCCTGGGCTACAGAGTGATGAGGCAGGAAGACTGTTCTAAGTCTGAGTCCAGGCTAGGTTACTTAGTGAATTTCAGGCCAGCCTGGGCCACAGAGTGAAACCTTATTTCAAAAAAAAATTTAATATATACTTTACTACATTCAAGAAGAGATGAAGTCCAAGTTACCATCTTAAATGGATGCCTCACACATCATACACTGAGTAGTGTTATTCTTCCCATTTTCCCAGTTGTCATTAGACATTGTTAAACCTCTCCTATTGTAAAATCCTTTATATGAGGAATACCCCTTTTATATGAAGCCTGTGTAGAGCAATGCCAATTTCAAGGTCATGTTTTTGGTTCTTGCATGTTTCTGTCCTGGGACTTTTAACACCTGATATACATATTCTCTCTCAAGTTCAAAGTCTAGAATCACCATGGGTGTGATTTTGGCACTGATGCAGGACAAGTGTAGCAAAATAATAGTCACAATGCTTTTTGGACCCTTACAACCTTAAAGTCTACACTACTCCACACTCTCATGCTGATAACTGACTCATTCACTCTCCCCAATTCGTTGGACAGATATAACACACCACCATTCTGCAATGTGCCTGGACTACACAAAGATTAATGACATCAAAATCTCAACATTTAAGGTGTTTCCTGTCTCAATGATAGATAGGTTATTATTTTTGATTCATTCATTAAACCATTATTGACTGAGTAATAGATGATGAACACTAGCATTTTTCTACATTTCTGACACATACTACAGTAATTTAATCCTTTCAAGAAATAACTGTGAAGAACTGTGGTCCTCATTTTACAGCTGGGAAAATAGTTAGAAGCTAAGTTGCCAGCATCTCACAGCTTGTGGGTATCACAGGGATTAGAACCTAAGCAGTTTGCCTTCATAGTCTAGTCAGTCATTACACTACTCATCTCTTCTGCCAGGACAATTATGCAATCAAACTAAGTGAGCATCCTTGAAGTGGGAGTTTTGTATATGTTTTTGCCTAACATAATGAAATGAAAACCAGTTTACTAGGCAGACCAGGCTTTAGGTCAGAGAAGACCCTTCATCCCTTGCTCAGTTTGTCAAGTTAGCATTCATACAGATCTGCCCATAGTAGGCCAGAGTAACTAAAGGTAAGTTTTAGCGTCATGAGGCAAGGAATTTTGGGAAAGGAGAATAACATGCAATAACCTTGACTAGAACTTTAGTAAATCTAGAGCTTTTCTCAAAATAGATTCCCACATAGCCAAGTCAGGATTCAGGGCAAACGTGAAGGGTCTGAATTTAAAGGCAAAGATAATACAGGCCAGAGAAGGAGAAGCGAGCTGGAATTGTCCACTCCTGATAAAGAAGCAACCCTGAGACCACCGGCTTGTGTCTTTCAAGTGAAAACTGGCCTGATGCTTGCACAATGAATTTCTGCTCTGGTATCTTTCTGCTTAAGGCTGTGAAGTTGGAATTAAATCTAGAAGCTTTAAAGAAAGAATTTGTACATAGGCCAAATATAGTCAGAAACTGAATGAAATTTTTTTTGAAAATTTTGTTGTTGGTGGAAAATATGGCATAGGAAATGGGTCTGGCAGCAAACTTATCCTTTAGAACAAAAAATAA